AGGGAAAGGGAAGAGATCGTCGGCGATGCAGAGGATAGCGTTTCATACAAGGAGTGATGACGATGTTCTTGATGACGGTTATCGGTGGCGAAAGTACGGTCAGAAGTCTGTCAAGAACAATGCTCATCCCAGGTTCCTCTTTTACCTTAATTACATTCGATCGATACATTTATTTATGTGTTTTAATGAAAAAATATATAACATCGTTAACTTCAAAGTAGATTTCGAAATCGACCTAAGAAAATATACATACGCACTCTTGGTCACGTGTATATCTTGGTTGGAAACATTAGTTTAACAACCTAAAGTTCGATCGAAGTCAATTTGTGTTAGTCCCATTGCATTACGTTATTACTATTGTCTTATTATATGTGTTTTTTTCGGATTGGTTTATCCAAACCGATCCCTGCATAAAATCATCCAAAATAAAATTGGTATAGATAACCACAAATATATTTTCAAGTAAAAATGTTATACCTCCATAATTGGATCATTAATTATGTCATATTTTTAACAAGAAGAAAATAAAACAGAACGAGATAATCGTTGTTGGTTCATATTTTAGTCGAAACATGTTAAAACTTATCTCAACAATTTTGGCGACCTATCATCAATCCAAATACCTAAAACGTTAAAAAATTTAGTCGAAATATGTCGATAATCCGTGATAATGAAACAAACATGATTTGGTTGCTGCCATATGAAACAAAATCATATATGGATTGATTTCTTATTCATTTTTTTTTTCAGGAGCTATTACAGATGTACGTATCATACATGCAACGTGAAGAAACAAGTGCAAAGATTGGCAAAAGATCCAAACGTCGTCGTAACAACCTACGAAGGTGTTCATAATCATCCATGTGAAAAGCTCATGGAGACTCTTAGTCCTCTCCTTCGGCAACTTCAATTCCTCACGAGGGTTTCTGAATTGTGATTAATATTAATTAGTCGTGTAAGTAAAAAAGCATATATTAATCATGGTTTAGTCGCACTCCCATTGACCCCAATCTCCCAAGAGATAAATGTATAGAACAACTATGAGATTGTAAATGTTTTATCATGGTTATCGAGATGACTTGTGTTTAATTATGATTTGTTCTCTCCATGTTGTGTTGTGATGTTTAAACATCTTATATATGGGCGTTAAGAACACATTCCCATATTGGTCCCAAAAAAACAAAACCGTGAAATCGCCAAAATTAGAAACTTTAAACCAAACTATAAAGAGCTTACTGTTTTGCAAGTCAAGGAATGGAATTTGTTTTCAACCTATGCGTCATGCGACATATCAATGCGTCAGATTATTTGAAATCAGATCCACCAAAATCTCTCCGGTTTATTCGGAATTTGATTCAGTTTAGATAGGGATCGGAAATTACTTTATACATTTTGAATCAAGGTATTATATCATAAATCAACTATACACTCCCAAATTCGCCAGCGAAGTGAATTTTTAAACGCTTCTTTCTGCTCAAGTAAATTTCTACTCAAGTAATTCGCCAGCGAAGTAAATTTGTAGCCTCTCTATGATGATTTCGCACATTACTCTTAAATTCTATTATGTCATTTTGTTAATGCACTTTTGATCTTGTAATTGACAAAAAAAGACAGTTTTTTGTTGGTGCTCTTATCTTGAAATCATACAATAGAGGGAAATTATTTAGACGACAGACTTTGAAATCATACACTTAATATCATTTTTAATGTCTTGAACAATGTTTCATTAGCATTTCCCACTCTTACTCCCACTCCCAGTTTACTCTCTTTCATTTGGAATGTACTAATTTTCTTCAACAAGCGTATCTTTATATAATACAAACAAATTGATGTTTTTTTATTCATAATTATAACATTGTCAAG